AAGCACTTGCTCTAGGGAAACAATATAGCATGATATGACTGATAAGAAAGGGCAAAAAAAAAAAAGCCGTGTGTGTGGTTTTTAAATAAACACTAACAACTAATGAGTTTAATCATTAAATGAAATCTATTAAATTAGGCCCATGTGGACCAGTGAAAGGGCATGCTTAGTCCTGAATAAAAGTTTTTATTATGATTTAACTTTATGCTAATTAGTGAACATTTAGACATCCCACTTTTACTTTTCATTCTACATTTTGTATTTTAAAATTATGTTTAGCAACCCCTGACCCTGATCCTGAAGATGTTTGTGAGCAACTTCAGGCAAGTGAATAATCCCATGGAACTCGACGGGTCTGTTCACATTCATTACGTCTTTGGGATCAGGGCCCATATTTGAATGAAAATTATCATATAGTATAGAGCACTTTCAACATTTTGCCATCAGTGAGCCTTGTTTGGATTAATCTACCTTTCTTTATCTTCCTGTAACGTTTTCACAAAAGTAGTGAAAATTTCTCTACGTTTTTAGCTGCTGTAGTGGTAGTCACTATACAAAACCGTAAGCTAGAGAGACGTTTACTATTTCTTTTCAGGTGCGTTTTATGGCTCTTTTCTGTGATATTTTAGGGCGTTGGTGGCTTCTGTTTGTTGTGACCAGGGAGGATTGTGGGGAATGTCAGAGAGACTTAACCAAATTAGGTGAATGGGCAACATGATGGCAAACAAAATTCATTGTTTATAAATGTACATTAAAGGAAAAAAGTTGCACTACTCCTGCACCTTACAGTTACTTTAGAACCTTGTATCAGCTCAGGAAAGGGACAGGAGTATCACTGTGGGTAGCTCAATGAAAATCTCTGCTCAGTCTGCAGGTCTGGTCACAAAAGTAAAGGAGATGTTAGGAAGCATAAGGAAAGGTATGATGAACAGTAGAGAAAACATAACACCATTATATTACTCAATGGTACATCCTCATCTGGAATACTCTGTGTGTGTGTGTGTGTGTGTGTGACAGTGGTCGCTCCATCTACAAAAAAGGATATTTCAGAATTAGAGAGGGTTCAGAGAATGATTAAGGGTCTGGAAAAATCATATAAAGAGAGGTTGAAAAGATTGGGAGAGCTTAATTTAGAAAGGAACATAAGAATGTCAATACTGGGTCAGATCAATGGTCCATCTAGCCCAGTATCCTGTCTTCCAACAGTGGCCAGCGCCAGGTGCTTCAGAGGGAATGAACAGAACAGGCAATCATCGAACAATCCATCCCTTGTTGTCTACTCCCAGCTTCTGGCAAACAGAGGCTAGGGATACTCAGAGCATGGTGTTGCATCTCTGCCCATCTTGGCTAATAGCCATTGATGGATCTATCCTCCATAAACTTATATAGTTCTTTTTTGAACCCTGTTATAGTTTTGGCCTTCAGAAATCTCCTGGCAAAGAGTTTGACAGGTTGACTGTGCATTGTGTGACAAAGTACTTCCTTTTGTTTGTTTTAAATCTGCTGCCTATTAACTTCATTGGGTGACCCCTAGTTCTTGTCTTATGTGGAGGAGTAAATAAACATTTCCTTATTCTCTTTCTCCACACAGTCAAGATTGTATACACCTCTATCATATCCTCACTTAGTCATCTCTTTTTCCATGCTGAAAAGTCCCAGTCTTTTAAATTTCTCTTCATATGGAAGCTGTTCCATAGCCCTAATCATTTTAGTTGCCCTTCTCTGTACTTTTTCCAATTCCAATATATCTTTTTTGAGATGGGGCATCCAGATCTGCACACAGTATTCAAGTTGTGGGTGTACCATGGATTTCTATAGTGGCATTATGACATTGTTATCTATCCCTTTCCTAATGAGTTCTAACATTCTGTTAGCTTTTTTTTTTTTTTTGATTGCCACTGCACATTGAGTAGATGTCTTCAGAGAACTATGCACAATGACTCCAAGATTTCAGCTAATTCAGACCCTATAATTTTGTATGAATAGTTGGGATTAATTAGAGGGGACATGATAAAACAACAAATGGTCAAGAGAAGAAAGATCAGGAACTCCTGTTCTCCGTGGCTCACAACCCCCCAAAAGGGGATATTCAATTAAGTTAAAAGATGGCAAATTAAAAACTAATGAAAGGAAATACTTTTTCATACAACGTGTAATTAAATTGTGGAACTTGTTGCTACTGGCAGTTGTAGAGGCTGAGAATATAGCAAGATTCAAAATAAAATTGGACATTATGAATATCCAGAATTATCGTAATTAATACTAACAAGAAGTTAGGAAGGGATATTAAACCTTGTGCTTTGTGGTTTAAACCAATCTCGCTCTATTAGAGATCAGGATGAGACCTGGGGGAAGATGACCCCCCCCATTTGCTTAGCGTGGGGTTCTTTAACCTTCCTCTGAAACATCAGTCAGATCAGTCACCATCAAAAATAAAATATTGGACTAGATGTACCTCAGGATTGATCCCGTATGGTAATTCCTAAGTTCCCAAGTTCTTTATAGTGCAGATGATAGTAACAGTGGTGCCATCCCACACTTTTCTATATAAAATAATACAAATTCAGCCAGCAGTAGCAAAGTTAGAGCATACAGTTCTAGTTAGCGAGTAGCTAAAATACTACTTGGTCCTCCACCCAGTTCAACAATCAAAAAGCGCCACAAGAAGCCGTCTTGAAATTTTAATGGAAATGCAAGTAGTGCAATAAATGGTCAACACTGGGGTGTTTTTGTTTTTGGTTTGGCTTATATGATAGGGTTCATATAAAACTTTTTGTGTTAGAAGCTCTGTGAACTCAAACAGCGACATGCTTTGAGTAGTTTTAATTTGGCATGAGAGATGTCAGGCTGGTCTTGTCCAGAGAAGATACTGCTAGGAAGAAGCTGGGCCATAAGGCCTTGATGGCTAAAATTCTTTCCCAGAATCAGGTATGACCACAGGAGTCAAATAGTTTTAAGATCTGGTGTGTGAGGGTGTCTGCATGGGGTAAATTATCTCATTACTTCTCCTCCATGGTCCCTATCCAACATAATTAATATCTAAAGGTTCCTTAGGATCTAGTTTAGTTTCCTGCCTGGCTGGGTGACAGACACTGCTGAGGTTTGAAGTCATGGCAAGCAAAAGCAGATGGCCACCTTTGCTAACAGATTACTGCATCAAGGCATACAGCCATCCAGCTCTGTTTCAATAAACTTCAATGTATGGTTTACAAAGTGAGCATAATAGAAGAAACCCATGATGCCTATAATCAGAATCATATTACAGTACTACTTAAAGCACTAGCAGAATTGCCTAAGCAGTTATTGTATACTCCTGATGATTTCAAATCTTATTAGGCAAGAAAGCAGTGCCTGGAAAATGATTTGTCCTGCCTTTGCTATTACTACTTTTCATTTCATTTTTATTGAACTAATTAAACTTCAAGTGATATTTCAAGTTTCTATTGAATTTTTGGCCAACATATTAATGTGCTCTAATTAACACAAATCAGAATAAGGAACTGACTATGGGGCTTTATAATAAAAAAAAAATACACCTTGCTAAATGTGTAAACCTGCAAGTGCATGACGGAAACTGCTCCACCCTAATTTAAAAAAAAAAAGAAGAGAGAAGCTTTGTTGCAGAAAAAGAAAACTCATTGCAAAACAATACATAGCTAACACTGCTGTTTTGCTGTGCAGGATATTTGAGATGATAAATTGCAAACAAAACATGTCTAAGATTGCTGCGGAGCTGAGCATCATGGTGAGGGCAAAGCTAAAGTTATCTTTCTGTAGTGGATGATGGCACAATCTCACATAACACAGCTCCCGTGTTTTCAGTGTACTGCTTATTTTCAATGCAAAAAAGTATAGTTATGAAGGACAGAAAAAGTACACTTGTCATGTCTCATGTACCTGAAGACCAGTTGATTTTTGGCCTAATATGCTGCTGACCATATTTTCAAAAGAGTCCTACTCCAGTTTAGGCTCCTAAATGAAGTGTTCAGGTTTTCAAAAGTCCTCAAAACATGACAACTCCTATTGGTCTGAGAGCCATTGTTTTGGGTGTTGAGCTCTACCAAAAAACCTGACCACTTCATTTGGGTGCCTAAAAGGGAGCTTCTGGGAGCTGAACTCTTCTGAAAATCTGCTCGATAATAGGTTTGTGGAGCTAGATTCTCTCCTGCACCAGAGCACCACTCAATGCAGGTCAAAGGGATGAAGCATCAGGTTCCAGCTCCCTGATTCTTGGGGTCAGCCCTGATCCAGACACAAGTTAGAGCAGCTTCCTAGTAAATGACACAAAGTAGCTGTTTCACTGAAGCTAGTTCAGTCCTATTGCTGAAGTACCCTAGAAATGGCCCTGAAACAGTTGAGGAGCAGAGGGTCTGGACAGTTTGAGCTGCTCTGGCCCTGCCCCTTCCTTCCCTTGACATGCCCATAGCCCCTGCCCTTCCTACTCAGTTTGTCTCTGAAGATCTGGGTTCCATATGTGTGTGTGACCTCTTTGTGGACTGGCGCCACTCGGATTCTATTGTTTCTGGGACTCTTTCCCCTGACCCTGCATCATGATGTGGGTTAGATTTCCCCTTTAGTGTACATATAGCTCAGGGTACGCTAGGAATACCACCACAGTGTTAATTAGGCAAAAGGAAAATGAAGATTTTTATTGCAACCACTACAAATGAGAAAAGTAAGTTGTATCTTATTTTCCCTCAAGAATGAAGGAGAGATTTTAAAGGCGCAATTGGCGTTAGGCATCTGACTGTCCTTTCTACCTTTTCTATGGAGGTGGATTGGTAGAGTGGAGAATACTTGTGTAGTACCAAATGTGTTCTTTGCATTTTTTTTTTTTTTACCAGATAGCATCTGACCACAATGAATCTCTGGTTAGCTGAGTAAGCAGAGTTTTCAATTACATACAGTCTGCTGTCAAAGAGTTGAACAGCTTATTTGAATATTTACCCTATTTCTATGACAAACACAAACACTTACATATTTTTTTGCTTGTGTCACAGGCTTGCCATCAGCAAACTTGAGTGTTTATAACCTCACTGTTGTGGAAGGAAGGAGCACTACACTGTACTGCGAAGCTACTGGGGTGCCATCTCCCAATGTATCCTGGGTTGTCCCTAATCTTGTTTCAAAACATGAGGTAAGTTTTACTTTCAATAGCTGGCTATCCAGAGACTGGGTATACCTGCTGAAGAATGGTGTGTGGCTGGTTTTAAGCTTATTACTTTTCATAATCACAGATACAAAATGGCAAATTGTTTACCTTGCATTTATTTCTCAGGTATTCTTCATCCACAGTGACTGCGGCAGTGCTTCTGGGACAAACAAACATTTATTTCTCTGAGAAAGTGGCTTTTATTTAAGTTTCTGTGCCTCCAGTTATAATTGATAGTGCTACAATTCTATGGAAGGGTCCTGGTAATATAAGAACGGCTGTACTTGGTCAGACCAAAGGTCCATCTAGCCCAGTATCCTGTCTTCTGACAGTGGCCAATGCCAGGTGCCTCAGGGGGAATGAGCAGAACAGGCAAACACCGAGTGATCCATCCCCTGTCACCTATTCCCAGCTTCTGGAAAACAGAGGCACGGGACACCATCCCTGCCCATCCTGGCTAATAGCCATTGATGACCTATCCTCCATGAATTTATCTAGTTCTTTTTTGAATCCTGTTATAGTCTTGGCCTTTACAACATCCTCTGGCAAAGGGTTACACAGGTTGACTGTGCATTGTGTGAAGAAATATTTCCTTTTGTTTCTTTTAAACCTGCTGCCTATTAATTTCATTTGGTGACCCCTAGTTCTTGTGTTTTGAGAAGGAGTAAATAACACTTCCTTATTTACTTTCTCCACACCAGTCATGATTTTATAGACCTCTAACATATCCCCCATTAGTCATTTCTTTTCCAAGCTGAAAAGTCTGTCTTATTAATCTCTCCTCAGACGGAAGCCATTCCATAGCCCTAATAATGTTTGTTGCCTTTTCTGAACCTTTTCCAATTCCAATATATATTTTTTGAGATGGGGTGGTTGCATCTGCACATAGTATTCAAGATGTGGGCATACCATGGATTTATATAGAGGCAACATGATATTTTCTGTCTTATTATCTATCTATCTATAATGAATCAGGAAAGTGAAGGTCAAGTGAGATTTGATTGTCACAACATTCCTTATATAGAAAATTACAGTCTGATAAGAAAGGCTGTGTGTGTAAATTTACTATATTCACAGGCCAAAAATGCGGTTATGCCAGGGTTGTGGTTATAAATATAAATTGTTTTTGTGGGGGAAACACCTTGAGAACATTGTTTGTTTGTTTTATAAAACAACAAAAGCCAAGTGTAAGCCATAAAAGTCAATGTTAAGTTTACACTATAAGAAATAGTGAAAACCAATTCAGTATGGACATGCTTATCCAAGGTCACCCAAATAACTCTGACTGTCCCTCATGTTCCTACCCTCCTGTGTCCATGTTTCATATTGTGCATAAGATAGGATTTAATCAATGTATCTCCTTCTGATGAAGGAGATATTGATAAGGACTTTAACAAGTGTGCAGCCTGACAGCTTAAATCCACTTTATTTGCATTGCGCTCTGGAGTTCATGGCTTTGGCTTTGTAAGTGTGGTCATCTGCTACCTTGGGGTACAAACTGCCTAAATTATTTTTTGGCCCTTAAGAGGTGTATGGCCATAGACACAAAGGGTTAGACCCTGGTCTTCAGATCCTGTCCTGCAATGCAAAGAGAACATAGACTGTCTAGGCCGGGGGTGAGCAAACTTTTTGGCCTGAGAGCCACATCGGGAAATAGAAATTGTATGGCGGGCCATGAATGCTCACAAAATTGGGGTTGAGGTGCAGGAGGAGGCTCTGGTTGGGGTGTGGGCTCTGGGGTGGGGCTGGGGATAAGGAGTTTGGGGTGTAGGAGGGTGCTCTGGGCTGGGACCAAGGGGTTTGGAGGGCGGGAGAGGGATCAGGGCAGGGGCAGGGGAGTGGGAAGGGGTGCAGATTCCGGCTGCGGGTGCGGGCTCTGGGATGGGGCTGGGGTGCAGGAGGGTGCTTCGGTCTGGGATCAAGGGGTTTGGAGAACGGGAGGGGAGCTAGGGCTGGGGCAGGGGGCTGGGGCCCTGGAAGAGGCTCAGGGGTGCAGGCTCCAGGCGGTGCTTACCTCAAGCGGCTCCCGGAAGCAGCGGTATGTCCCTTCTCTGGCTTCTCCGGAAGTGCAGCCAGGCGACTCTGCGCGCTGCCCCATCTGCAGGCACTGCCTCTGCAGCTTCCATTGGAGCGCCGGAGGGAGCCATTGGAGCATGTAGGAGCCAGAGAGGAGCCATGCCGTGGCTTCCGGGAGCCGCGTGGTATGGCCCCCGACCCTCCGCCCCAGCTGGAGTGCTGGAGTGGGGCTGAGCCCCGTGGTGCAGCCCCTGATCCAGCGCCCTGGCCGGAGTGGGGCCGAGCCATGTGGTGCGGCCCCCGACCCCACTCCCCAGCAGGAGCTCGTGGGCTGGCTTAAAATGGCTCATGGGCCGGATCCGGCTCATGGGCGGTAGTTTGCCCATCCCTGGTCTGTGAGCAAAGCTAGTGATTTCCATAGAGGGTATTCTCAGGAATGTTAGGCTGGCATAGCTGGTTCTGTCTCCTCTCCCCTCTCATAATGTCTTTTTCCCTCCTCAAGTAAGTAATTCCTAGATAGTTACAACCTTGTGTCTGCTTTAGTTAAGTTTCTTTCCCAGGGATTGTCTTGGATTTTTAAAAATGTTTACAAATTCCTTGGTGATAGGAGGAGCTTGCACGCTGTTCAAGGACTCTTTCTCCTCCCCCAGATGGCCCCCAGTTCCATGTGACTTCAACCCTCTGTTACTTCCTCCATTGTGGTCATCTACATGGGCCTATGCAAAATGTATAGGATCTGCTTTTGAGATGTTCAAATTTAAGAACACTGAGGGTCTGTAAAGTACAGAGAAGCTGAATTTAATAGCTAAAATAACCTGCCTGAAACTAGCCAAATGCATCAGTACTAACCAAAACCCAACAGATTAAAACAACTGGGGGAGTCTCTGCTAAGCCTTTTTTGAGTTATGCACCAGAACAAATGAGGTGATTTCCCTTCTTGAGCATTACCATACATTTTTTAAAACTCTCCTATCTTCAAAGTGACTTTTCCGATTTACTTCAAACTTTCCAGAAAAATTCTATCTTGTCATAATTTTATGCTTGTGAAATTTCAGAGTGCCCTATAATGGAAGCTAGCTTCAGCCTTAGCTATGGAATAACACTAGTCTCATCAGTAGTATAACAGAGTACCTTCTTAAACTCCTTTACTGTTCACCACAATCCTTGCCCTTCTATGTTTTGTTTTTCTGTTTTCCTTTTCTCCTCACCTTCATGTCTCTGTTTCTGCTTCTCTGCTCTCCTCCTGCTGCTACTTCTGTCTGTCTTCTTTCCTTGCTCTCCTATAAAGAAAAATCCCAGGAAATGGCTCAGATCCTGCATACAGCTATCTATGTGCTTCACTTTATGCATATAGTCCAATTGACTGCCATTGGAGTTTTCTTAACTGTGCACTTGGGTCTGATCCTGCAGTTAAATCCCTATGGATGGACTGTTGAACCTGCTTCTTCTTCTTAGTGTACATGCAATGTGCCTCACGTGGCATGTGACCAGGATTCATCACCAAATTTGGTCCCTTGGTTGGATCATTGGCTTCCTGGGCCCAGGCCAGGTACTGACGGGGAGCACAATATGAATGTTGATCCATGCCCCCCATCCCCCCCACCCTTGAACCTGCTGAGCACCAATTACTTCAATGGGACTGTTCATGGGTAGAGAAAAGCAAGTGTGTGCTCTACATTGTTAGCCTTGGGGTGAAATCCTGACTCCATTGAAGTCAACAGTTTTGCTGTTGATTTCAATAAAGCCAGGATTTCACCCTTATTAACTTTTATTATTTGTATTACTGTAGCCCCATTGTGCTATGTGTTGTAAAAAAGACAGTCACTTAAGATCCTGATCTTGAAATGTGACACTCGTGGGCGGATCCTTATACTTCATGGAGTATCATTGAAGTCATTGGGTTCTACAGGTGCTAGAGCCCTTTAGTAGAGATTCAATTGCAGGCTCAGCACTTAAGTGCATAGATTCATAGATTCTAGGGCTGGAAGGGACCTCGAGAGCTCATCGAATCCAGTCCCCTGCCCTCATGGCAGGACCAAATACTGTCTAGACCATCCCTGATAGACATTTATCTAACCTACTCTTAAATATCTCCAGAGGTGGAGATTCCACAACCTCCCTAGGCAGTTTATTCCAGTGTTTAACCACCCTGACAGTTAGGAACTTTTCCCTAATGTCCAACCTAAACCTCAGTGGTTTGAGCATTGGCCTGCTAAACCCGGGGTTGTGAGTTCAATCCTTGAGGGGGCCATTTAGGGAACTGGGGTAAAAAACTATCTGGGGATTGGTCCTGCTTTGAGCAGGGGGTTGGACTAGATGACCTCCTAAGATCCCTTCCAACCCTGATATTCTATGATAAGTGGAGCACTTTGCATTTGTCTTTATTAAACTTCATCCTGTTTACCTCAGACAATTTGTCCAGATCATTTTGAATTATGACCCTATCCTCCAAAGCAATTGCAATCCCTCCCAGTTTGGTATCATCTGCAAACTGCTATCATGTCCCCTCTCAGTCTTCTCTTTTCCATATTAAGAAGAATCCTAGCAAAGGACGATGTTAAAGCAATAGTCCTAACTGTTTGTTTATTAATTTTAAAAAAAGTTCCTTTATATTTCACATGAAATTAAAAACCAGAGAGACAAACTAGAGGTCATTTTAAGAAACCTATTTAAGAGGTCAGAAGCAAAACTTTTTTGTTTTAAGAGTGCCAGTTTGCTTGTAGTTCATCCCAATGTACTTTAATTTTGCAGCACATATGGTGATTTTTATGATTTATTTAGTGCTGTACACAGTGCTTTACAAAACATTGAGGCAATAACTGTGGGTTTTTTTTCTATCTGCCTATGGTCAAACACACGTAAGGGAAAACATGGGCCTTAGTTCAGGTGGTGGAAGAAACCAACTTACTGTAGGAAGGATTAAAGATAGGAAGAGGTTTTCAAGAGAGAGCTGAGGGAGGAGAGCGGGAACTTGGTAGTCAAGGTGTGGGAGACCATGTCGAGCCCACAGCAGGAGTAAAGGTATAAAGTCCAGAGTGAGGTAACAGTAAAGCATTGATTGGGAGGAGTATAGGAGGAGAGAGAGCAAGATTAAGAGGAAATGAGAGCAGAGATGAACCTTAGGAGTAAATGATGAGGTGGAAGAAAGGCGAAGAGTAATAAATTTGAAGAAAAACAAGTGGTGATCAAGAATTGAGAGAGAGAGAGACTGGAAAAGATCAGGGGCCGGATCCTCAGCTGGTGTAGATGTGCAGTGCTCCACTGAAGCCAGTGGAGCTGTGCTGTTTTACACCAGCTGAGGGTCTGGCTCCAGGCCCATATGGTTAATAAAATGGTAAATGGGAAAGTGAGTCCAAAATTAGAAATTGCATGAAGTAGTTAACAAAAGAAAGTCAGAGGCAGTGGAGTCAGCCTTTTCAACATGGAAATAGAAGTAATCCAGAGCCACGGTAGGGGACTGGAGAGAGGGAGGGTGAGCCAAGCATCAAAATGAGGGATGAAGTGAGTGGGAGCTGGGAGGATTGTAGACTAGGGCCACATGGAGCAAGGGCAGATGAAGGGAGGGATTGGATATGACAGGACAGGGAGTAGAGGAGCCAAGTGATTGGGGGTGTCCACTCTTTTGACTTTGACATCTGCACTTGGGCTTCTGGCTCACATCCCTAGTTATCTGAAAGTTTGGGATGTTTTGAGATTTTTTGAGTAATTGAGGTTGTGCAGTGTATAGAGTGGAAATATTCCCTTTTTCCTTCAACTAGTACAACTGAGGGGTATAACTCAACCAGCCAAATTCTACACTGATTTATTCCTGATGTGAAGTAGAAGGAAGGCATGTATCAGCATCCTCCTTAGTGGGATTATATGTGTGTAAATCAACACAGACCCTCAGAATCAGGCCCAGTACATTGATTTACAACATGGAATAAAATGTTGTGCAAATATAATACTCCGGTTTCTAGCAATAAGGTTAAGAGGAAGGGTAACTGAAGGACTCTAATCCCAGCGTCTCTCTTGTTCTACACTCTGTTTAAGCCAAATACTTTTTCTTCTTGTTTGTAGAGCAATACAAGTAAGAATCCTGCTTCCCTAACCATAAGGAATGTTTCGTCTAAGGACAGTGGAATACGGATTTCATGTATAGCAGAAAATATTGTGGGAGAAGACCAAGCTTCTGCTGACCTTGTGGTGTTCTGTACGTAAACAGGCTTGCATACAATTTCAGCTGCTGTCTAAACTACATCAGCACAAAATATTTGGGGTATATATTTCTGTTGGGCCTGCAAGGTTTTGAAACAAGAATGTCACCTAAGTGTATGAACTGCATTGCTTTTAATGCTGAGGAACAGCATAACCAGCAGTTGTTGTGTAGTAGTGTCCCTTCATTACTCTGCCCTTACATATATGTGCTCTCATAGCTGCCTATCAACTTCCAGTTTGAACTGCCAAAAGTAAATTTCTGAAGTCCAAAATGTTCAAATGGCAGTCTAAATGTGAAAAGGTGCCTGGGTGCATGTGTATTTTATATGCATATAAAAATACCCACACATCAAAGACGGGGATCAAATTGTTGTTAATAATTTGAGATTTTAAAACTTTTCATCTAAGCCAATAACCCTGATACATTTTTTTTTAATTAAAAAAAATCAGCTTTTAACATTAGTTTTCCCAGGCATATATTAGTTAGTCCTTAGCCTTGAAATAATCTATTTATCTGTCAAGTCCAGGAGAAGAGGATGAGCACAGGGGATAAAACATTGACCCCTTAACTCTAAGCTCCCATATGAATCTATCTTAAGTGAATTAAGTAGGCTGTTTTTACAAGCTTCAGATATTGATCATCCAGATCAAACCCACATTTTATTAAAAATGAGCTTGCTTATTAGAGAAAAATCTTAGAGAAGTAGCTATAGATTAATTTCATATGATTTTATAGTTCAAATTGGGTATGAAATAGCTAAGGGAAAGGATATATGCTACAAATACTGGAATGGTGTAAACAAGGAATCTTGGATTGGCACCAATGTGATTGGTACAAGGACGTATAACTAGATGTAATTAGATGCAATTAACAAAGGAAAATTCAGTCTGAATATCAAGGAAAACTTCCTGACAGTGAGATAATGTACAAGGCTGTGGAATAGCCTCCCAAGGGAAATAGTAGAAGCCCATAACAATTTAAAACTGGACTGGACAAAGTACTAGAAAATGACTATGGGAAATGATCCTGCATTAATTAGCAGGGGAATTCAGTGAATGAACTAATAGGTCTGTTCCATGATTCTATGATGAAAATCATCTAGAAGTTTTCATGCCTATCTGAATGTATTTCCAGTACACCTGATTCCGGCCAACTGTTAAATACCCTTTTTAAAATAATACTTAAGTGCTTTGGTTAAAAACAGGAGTAATAAAAAACCTTTTACTGAACTTGCATGATTTATTAAAGTTGGTTCTTGTTTTATTGGAACCAGTTCACACATCTAATTTTAAAGAATAACTTTATTGAGGTATTGTCCATTTCAGGTCTGAATTAAGTTCACACATGATGGCTTCCTATATGAATATCTACACCCATAAGCACAAGGCTGTAGTTTCCAAAGCTGCCAATTTCTTAGCTTTAATGATTTTAAAAAATGCCCTCAAGAATTTGAGGGGAAAAATGTGTTTAGGATATTCTGATGTTATTCACTCTTCTTTTCAATATAGTTGCACCAAATATCACATTTATTGAACCTCCAACCCCGGACCACCACTGGTGTATTCCATTCACTGTGAAAGGGAACCCCAAGCCCTCATTGCAGTGGTTCTATGAAGGGGCTATACTGAATGAGTCTGAATACATCTGTACTAAAATACATGTTAGCAATCAAAGTGAATACCATGGCTGCCTTCAGTTGGACAACCCTACCCATTTGAACAATGGTGCTTATACCTTACTGGCGAAGAACGAGTATGGAGAAGATGAAAAAAGGGTTGATGCTCATTTCATGTCAATGCCTGGAGATGGTGAGTACTCTTTACTATATTAGCAATGGCATCTTGAGGATTGTGTAGAGCTAGTACTGCTGGCCAGTTTATTTTTCTCTTAAAGTTTTCTCTTAAAATAATTTGTTGTAGATATTTACAGATAACTGCTTTTTTTTTAAATCTCCTTGCATCTGAAAATTTTGCTTGTCAATTAGATTTTATGAAGTGAGCCTCATAGTAGCTCTCTTTCACGAATCCTGCTCTCCATGCCTTTTCTCCATGCCCAGACAAAATAAAAAACAAACAAACATTTTTCTTATGTATTTTTTCAAACATGTATGTACTGATCCCGCAAATGTTGAACGCTAGTTCAATATGAATCGAGGGGGTGCTCTGCTTTAGGAAGGACTAGGACTAAGCTGTGTATCCATAAGACCATGTACAAGTGTCTAGAGAAAATAGAAGATAATGAAAATTCTGCAGTGCAGTACAGCATGTAGATACCAATACATTCTTAGGACACCAGAGGGAGCAAGGGAGAAAATAAGTAACCAAGAGGCAGGAGGGACAAGATGGCTACTGTTACTGGTCCATATCAGTGGTTCTCTGCCCAGTCAGCACACAGCTGCAGCCCACGTGACATCCCTAGGGCCATACAGTATGTATGGATGCAGCCCATATAACATACTGAGAGCTATATATGTGGCCCACAATGATAAATAGGTTGAGAACCGCTATGTATCAATCCTCTTTACTGCATCCTTGGCAGAGTCAGGATATGATAGGTACCCAATAAACTGCAGGGATTACACTAAATGTATTGTGTTTGCCTTGGTTTGATGCTTTATTCCCAGATCTTCAAAAATACATGTACAGTAATTGTAGGGATAAATGGCAGGCAACCATCTGCCCATTGGTATGAAAACTTACGCTGATTGAATAGGGAAATCAGGTGTGCAAATGTGTGCAAATCAGGTGTGCAAAAATGCATTTTTGTGCAAGAAACTGCACATTTGTATCAGAAAATCTGGGCACTAGTGTACATTTCAGTTTCCCTAAACATTAAGTAGCAATAACATGTCAGTTGAAATAGTGATGTCCAGTCCTATGTAATTTATTTCACAGTGATAGAGGAGCTGGCTATTTAGTCTTTCAGATTTTAATTTCTTTCACCTTCATTACAAGTTACCACTAGTGAAAATACATGCCATATTCAGTACTTGTAGCAAGCTGTTTTAACTGAAACAATGAGGTATGTGACAGTTCTCTTCCAGGCTTGAGTAGGAGTAGATACAGAACTGACACACAGAGCTCTAGTTACTCCTGCTGCTCTAAGGAAGCTTCTCTCCTCCCTTTCCCCCTAGAGTCCTTTCCTTAATAAAATTGTTACAGGAACAGACCATGGTTTCAGCTACTGGCAGCTTCCAATAGTGCATTATAACAATTCAATAAAACAGTCCACTTTACATACATACTGTTTAAAATGGAAAGTGATATTAACTTGGCTGCATTCGCTTAGAAGAATAAACAGTTTTCCCAATAAGTTTAACAAGGCTACTTTGAACTTAAAGTGAATTTTTTTCTTTGAACAAACTGCCTTTTATTGGCACATTTTCTCCTTTAGGTTAAAAACTTGAACCTTTTTTCCCAGTAGTGGCATTTTTAATTATAAATCAGACTTTAACATATCCTTCCATTTATACAGGCAGCGTTTGTTTATTCCTTCAGTTTTTAATTCATAATAAAGTTTTAAATCTCAGAGAAAATCCATGTTGTGTTCTGTAAGCATAACCCTGTTCTCTGAGGAAACTAAGTTTCATAAATACATTGTAGAAGAGACTATCATAAGCACAGACAGGATGTTCTTATCTTAAAAATCATTACATATGTGATGTGTGGCTACAAACCAGTCTTAAAATTTAACAACAGGAAGAAACATCTACCCAGGCAAACTCCTAAAAAGTTTTTCTTTATGGGATTTCTACAGAATGCTATTTGTGACACTGGGCTTTAGCAGATCTTACAGAGTTGATATAGGTTCCTCCTTTTTACACTCCCAACTCTCCTGCCCTGGAAGCTGAAATAAAGTCAAAAGTAAAAAATAGAATCTCCTTATGTTTCACTAATATTTTATTGTTGCTATCTAAAGCACAACCACAAGTTTTGTAGCCCTTAAAAGGCTTTTTTTTCAGTGATATCGTTACTGTGTAGTTTCATTGTCTGTCTAACATACTGTACAATGAAGCATGAAGATAGGCCCACACCCAGGCATTATGTTCATTTCCATGCCTGCATGATAGAAATTAAATACCAGCCCTGGTGTTTAATGGGGTGACGTATCTTCATCAAGCTTTGAACTGATTCTGTGACTCTTACATCACTTATGGGCAAATGCACTGAAGATAAAAAGAAAGACAAATAAAAAAAACACCCCACCCATAAACTGTAGAAATTAAAATGAATGATTAAAATAAATAAAAATGAAGCATCAAGTGCTTTCGAGCATGAGATCATCAATATCAACATAATACTCTACCTTAAACTTGTATCAATCATGATGCAGATAGGGTCCATGCCAAGAATTTCTCAGCCTACATTGTGCCCTTTGCAAAACAGACGTTCTCATGGGATACTTGGCTGACAATGCAGGCATAAAGGTAGAGAGCTGATTTGTACTTGGAGCACATTAATGGTATCGCAATTATCACTGTGAACCACATAATTCACTAGAACCTTTGTTTTAAATACTAAGGGCCCATTTCTGTGATCTGGAGCTTTGGTTCATGGTCTCATATATAATCACAGATATCTTTGTGTGAACAAGTTAGCAGAAATCAGTCTGAACCCTTCCCTGCTTACAGCATGTATCTTATGATGTGTATCCAGCTTGTGGGATCAATACCATTCAAACTTGTACAGCTTTGAACCACCAACTATCCCTATATTTGAGGCTATATTTAAGTAGGAGATGTTGGTTCAAGGTGCGTTAGTTCAGCTGCCTAACATAACAGTTTCCTTATTTATTATTTGCCAAGATAGATACAGGGTGCCGTCATAGCTGGAGCTAACCTTATCCGAAACACATTTTGTTTGTTCTAGAATAGTGAGGGAGTGTTCCATAATAATGCTCCCAGGAAAGGGTTGCCTGAAAAGTCACATAATCTCAAAAGGCCCCTATATCATGTGGTTTCTCAGTTGAATTCTTCATCAAGTCATTTTTTTTTAGTATTTATTTTTATTTATGGCAGCACTCGCTGTGTGCTGGGCACTTTCCAAACATGCAAAGACAGTCACTTCTCTGAAGATCTTCTAATCTGAACCCCATCATTGCAGGATCATGGCAGCCTAAGACATCTCTATCTGGGGAACATCACAGCTAGCTTTGCCTCACCCCATGACAATCTAAAGGGCAAATGTTCAGTTTGCTCCCAGATGAACATAAGAGTCTGAAAAAGCCTTTTTAAGGAGGAAAAAACACCTTTAGATCTTGATTTCAGAAGATACCCCACATCCACAGACAGGAGTGTCTGAAAATGATTCCATGAAAAATCCAATCACAGAGTAGGAACTAGTTCTGATGTCATTTCCATGTTAAAGCACCGATGACTCCCAAAATTATACAGTATTTCCAGTCAGCTCACTTTACCTCTTTCATTGGCTCGTCCCACTAACTGAGAATAACTTGGAATGACTAAGACAAATAATATTTAAACTACAAAGAGTTTCACAGAAAGCAAGAATTGATAGTATCTTTTAGCTACTGAAATACAGTCCAAGGACAATAACGTAAAAAAAGAAGAGAAAAAAATGGAAATATCAAAATAATAGCTGATATAATTTTATGAAGGGGATATCGAGACAGAAATGTGACTTTTGCTGGACTTTTGGGTTTTCAGATGAAGGCTTTAGTAAGTATAAAAGGTAACTGAATGGAATATGTTACTTACTAGCCTTTACCTCACAGGCAGGGATTAAGGCTTTAATTAATCTGTGGTCTAGTGGGTTAAATTAATCCTTTCTCTAATGCTACCTAGTTGGACCAGGAGTTAATTTCATTCTGAGGGTCAAATCCTAGTCCCATTAACATCTAATGGCAGTTTTGCCATTGAGGTTATCGAGCTCATGAGTTAGCCCAAATACTTTGTTTCCTCCAGATTGCGAATAGCAAACATATACAACTGCTAGTGTACTGGGTCTCTCCTGAGAACTTTTTCACGTAATTTGAATGTTTAATATTGGAAAAAATTGTATCTATGAAGATTTTAAAAGAGAGAAGCCCCATCAGAAGCAGCTTGAGGTTAGATAACAAATGCTCATTGCACCTGATGTTTATTTCTACACCTGGATGGGGCCATTCCCATGGGGGCACCTTAATCTGCATTATAACTCTAAGCATTAAAATATCTGCAAAGGCATTTTAAAAATTGAGCCTGATACTCTGTTGCCGTTCTGTAGATGTTTTGCAGCTCCTAGTCTCATACTTCTCACAACAGATTCCCAAGCATTTAGCATAAGAAAAGAAGCAACAACTAACTATGTTCCTATCCTAATTTATGATGGCTTTGTACCAGTGTAACTCTACTGCTGTGGAGCTACTCCTGAAGTACAGTGGTGTAAATCCGAGCAGAACCATGCCCATTGAGCTTGTTCTTCCTACTTAAAGGGTTTAAATATGTTTTTAATTAAATTTTCAAGCCACGTAGAACAAACAGTAAATATATAAACTTAATTAGGAGATTACTGTATAGGACTTACGCAATACAATAGAAAACATCAGATAAGCATAAATGAGCATCTTGAAATATAGTGTAAAATAGAAAAACCCTTTCCAAGTGGAAATAGATTGATGCTATAATATGAACAGAAGGAGTTCTGTGCACTGAAGATTTGCAGGATCATGCCCAGATATATGCAATAATAAAAAACAGGAACAAAATGACATCAGAACTGTACATTGGAAAATGTAGATTTGTTTTGTCTATTTTAGTTGGCTAAGGGCTTGATTATCTAGTTGCCCTGCACGTGGGACTCTCATTCTCTTCAGTGAGAGTTTTGCCTGTGGGATCAGCTATGAAATTGGATCCTTAGCAGTGCAACTCCCGTAGAGTTAATGCAGTTGTGCTGCTTAGTCTATCAGTGACTTTGGCCCTTATTCTTTTGTGAGATGCTGCCAGCTGACAATATCGCAATTCTAAAGTAGCTTTTCCTCATGGTGATTTAAGTTAAGAACTAGGTGAAAAGCCATGTTGTCATATGGGTGTAATTTGTAAGGTGTACACAAGCTGAAAATGGCTGAGAACTTAAAAACTGGACAGTGACACCACAAATATCACTGGTGGTTGAACCTGGTGATATTCTGAACCAAAAAAGTTCTCAACCATGCTTGTAGCTGGTTCCATCGCTTCATGCTGATTAATTGACATTCTAGGCTTGAGAGTAAGATATGGAGAAAGTGACACTTCTGGAATCTTATTATATAGATTACAAGGCCAAATACCCAAGTCATTGCCACTCCCATTGAAGTTAACTGGCCAAATTCTGGTCCCATTAATATTAACTACAGTTTTGCCATTGATTTTTCAATGGGAATAGTACATACTGCAGTTATTCCAGATTTACACCCATGTAACAGAGCAGAATTTGGCCCAGTTTGGAACCATAACTGCCTTTGCCAGAACTCAGTTTAGCCTAGGTGTCGATCAGATCTTTCATATGAAGCAAATGTTGACATTTTGCATGTCTCTGAAAATAATTAAAAATGTAATTGAATAAAAAGCCTGTACAATGTATTTCGGTTATTTGAATTTGTGGACAATTGATATCATGTAATATAATTGCTAAGGCTAATAAGCTTTTATCTCTGAACAGAATTCCTAAAAACTATTACTCCTCATGCACATTTGCAAGATATTTACAAACTTTTTCTCTTCTCTTTTTCCTGTTCAGGTAGTGGCCCAATCCTGGATCCTGAACTTTATGGTATATATTTTGATTTTCTTTTTTTCAAAATGTACAAAAAAGAAATGACAAATTAAGAAACTCAAAAATGGAAAGATGGACTGTTCAGGGCTTTGGAGTTGTGCTCCCTCTCCGCTCCAGCTCCAGGCAAAAACCTGCAGCTCCACTGCTCCGGAGTTGCTCTGCACTCCAGCTCCGGGCTCCGCTCCAAAGCCCTAAATTAAACTTAAATATTATTTTAACGTGAACCAAGTGTTCTTTATTTTGATAGTTCTTTTCCTGCCTTATATTATTTTAAGATAAATGAATACAAATAGAGCTTTCTATTGCTTTCTCTGCTGCTGTTGGTTCAGACTAGGAGAAACATAAATGCACTGCTATAGAATGGTTGTAAATATCCCCAAATGGAGGATTAGAGCTATTGGTGTCCCGACTCTTGGATTTGGAGTTTTTGTGATCCTTTCAAAGTTCTATTTTTTGGGGGCAATTGAGTTCATTATCTTTTCTCCTGTAAGTTAACGTTTTGATGATTCAATGTTTATAAAAAGCATGTTTTACCACCTATAGAGAAGCCTATGCTACATCTCAGAGAGAGGAAAATTCCCAGTAAAAAATGAGGTTGGCACAAGTGAGCACCCCTATAACTTGTTTTTTTCCTCTTCCCTCTTTACTCGTTTCCTCTGTCTCTCTGTATTGGTTTTTCATTCCACCTCTCTGCTCATTTTTCACCCTATTTTTACTCCCCTCCCACTCCCCTTTTCTCCAGTCTCTCTTGTATAGTCAGAACTTGCACCCGCTAACATCTGAGTGAAAGTCATGCTTTTGAACCCAGAGTATTTTAGCTGACGCTGATTTAGGCAAAATGTGTCAGCGCCTCCCTGATGAAGACCCAATCTCTATCGTAACAGCAGAGCAGTTTGTAAACCTGCAGTTATTCTCTAACATCTCTGGGCTGTCCATCATGAGTTAGGGACAATTTTTTTTTAAAATGAATTGAAAGTCAGTATGACTTAGGTGCTATTGAAAACTTTATCCAAGCTTAATAAAGTATTGCCTTATCCCAGGTTACAGAACTTCTTTTTAACCTGATAGTAATATGTTTTTTGGCCTCTTCTGATATGGCTGGCCAAACTATTACAAGATGAACCAACAACAGTTACATGTAACCATTGTGAAGTTGGATTGTGTTGGCGTTGGGGCCTATCCTTCTACAATTAAGTTGTAAAAAGTACCAAAAGGAGGAGATGAATCTTGTTTTAACACAAAGAATTTTAGGACCAAATATTGGGAGAAAAATCTGCAAAACAGTTGGCTACTTTTATATAATACACCTCTACCCCGATATAACGCGGTCCTTGGGAGACAAAAAATCTCACCGTGTTATAGGTGAGACCGCGTTATATCGCACTTGCTTTGGCCCTCCTTGTTCCCTGACCACCTCCTTCGGAGACCCCCGTCCCTAATCACCCCCAGGACCCTACCCCCTACCCAACCCCCCTGCTCCCTGTCCCTTATCCCCCCACCCCCTGACAGGCACTCACCGGCAGCGGTGGGAAGCGGAGCAGCCGGCCCCAGCCCGCTCCACTCCGCCACCTCCCAGCCGCGGCACTCCGCTTCCGGCCGTCGGTGAGTGTGGGGAGGTTGGGGAAAGGATGCCTCCCGCACTCATCTGCGGCAGGAAGCGGAGTGACAAGGCCCCAGCCCGCTCCGCTTCCTTCGCTCCGGCCCCAGCCGTGTTGCTCGGGGGAGGAGGGCTTGGGGGAAGGGATCCCCCCCGCACTCACCAGCAGCAGCGGAAGCGGAGCAGCCCGGCCCCAGCCCGCTCCACTCTGCCACCTCCCAGCCGCGGTGTTCCGCTTCCCGCTGCGGGTGAGTACGGGGGCCGTCCTTTCCCCAACCTCCCCGCACTCACCTGCGGCGTAGGGTGACCAGATGTCCTGATTTTATAGGGACAGTCCAGATTTTTGGATCTCTTTCTTATATAGGCTCCTATTACCCCCCACCCCGTCCCGATTTTTCACATTTGCTGTCTGGTCACCCTACTGCGGCGGGAAGCAGAGTGCCACAGCTGGGAGCTGGGAGAGTGGAGCGGGCTGGGGCCGGGCTGCTCCGCTTCCGCTGCTGCTGGTGAGTGCGGGGGGGATCCCTTCCCCCAAGCCCTCCTCCCCCGAGCAACACGGCTGGGGCCGGAGCGAAGGAAGCGGAGCGGGCTGGGGCCGGGCTGCTCCGCTTCCGCTGCTGCTGGTGAGTGCGGGGGGGATCCCTTCCCCCAAGCCCTCCTCCCCCGAGCAACACGGCTGGGGGCGGCGCG